GTGCATGTGTCTTTATAATAGAATGATTTGTAATCCTTTGGATATATACCCAGTAATACCCAGTAATGGGATTGCTGGGTCAAATGGTATTTCTATTTCTAGATCCTTTAGGAATCGCCACACTGTTTTCCACAATGATTGAGTTAATTTACACTCCCATCAAGAGTGTAAAAGTGTTCCTATTTCTCCACATCCTCTCCAGCATCTGTTATCTCCTGATTTTTTCATGATCACCATTCTAACTGGCATGAGGTGGGATCTCAATTTCTCTAATGACCAGCGACAATGAGCTTTTTTTCGTATGTTTGTTGGCTGCATAAATGTCTTCTTTGAAAAGTGTCTTTTCATAAAAATTTCTGCCTTCATTTCATTATTTGGCCAAAAGTTATTCAGGAGCAGGTTGCTTAATTTCAATGTAAATATATGGTTTGTGCAATTTTCTTGGTACTGAATTCGGTTTTATTGTGCTGTGGTCTGAGAGTGTGGATGGCTTATGTGTTAGACCATTCTTACATTGCTGTAAAGAAATACCTGAGACTGGGTAATTTATTTTAAAAAGAGATATAATTGGCTCACAGTTACACAAGCTGTACAAAAAGCATAATGCTGGCATCTGTTCAGCCTTTGGGAAGCCCTCAGGAAACTTTCAATTATGGCAGAAGGTGAAGGGGGAGCAAGGCATTTCACATGGTGGGAGCAGGAGGAAGAAAGGGACGATGTACCACAAACTTTTAAACAGCCAGATCTCGTGAGAACTCTATCACAGGAACAGAACCAAAGGGATGGTGCTAACCCAGTCATGAAGGATCCACCCCAATGATCCAATCCCCAACATTAGGGATTACAATTAAACTTGAGATTTAGGTGAGGACACAGATCCAAACCACATCAGTATAATTTTGATTTTTTTGAATTTGCTGAAATTTGTTTTGTGTCTTATTGTATGGTTGATTTTAGAGTATGTGCTGTGTGGCAATGAGAAAAATGTATACTCCATTGTATTTTCTGGTGAGGAGTTCTGTAGATGTCTATCAGATCCATTTTGTCCAGTGTTGAGTTCAAGTCCTGAATATCTTTGTTAATTTTCTGCCTGGATTACGTGTCTAATACTGTCAGTGGGGTGTTGAAGTTTCCCACTATTACCCTATGGGAGTTTAAGTCTCTTTGAAGATATCTAAGAACTTGCTTTACGAATCTGGATGCTTCTGTGTTTAGTGCATATATATTTAGGATAATTAGGTCACCTTGCTGTATTGAGCCCTTCACCGTTATGTAACGCTCTTCTTTGTCTTTTTTTTTTTTTTTTTTTAATCTTTGTTGGTTTTTAAGTCTGTTTTGTCTGAAATTAGAATTACAATGCTTGCTTTTTTCAGTTTTCCATTTGCTTGGTAGCCTTTATCCATCCCTTTATTTTGAGCCCATGTGTATCATTGCATGTGAATTGGGTCTCTTGAAGGTAGCATACCATTGGGCCTTGCTTATTTAGCCATCTTACCACTCTGTTCCTTTTAATTTGGGGCATTTAGCCCATTTACATGCAAGGGTAATATTGATGTGTGTTAATCTGATCCTGTCATTGTTTTGTTAGTTGTTTGTTATGCCAACTTGTTTATGAGGTTGCTTTATGATGTCAGTGTTCTATGTTCTTAAGTGTGTTTTTGTAGTGGCTGGTAGTAGTCCTTTCTTTCCATATTTAGTGATTTTTTTCAGGGACTCTTGTAAGGCAGGTGGTAACAAGTTTCCTCATCATTTGCTTTTCTGTAAAGGATCTTATTTCTCCTTTGCTTATGAAGCTTAGTTTTTCTGGATATGACATTCTTGGTTGAAATTTCTTTTCTTGAAAAATGTTAAATATAGGCCACCAATCTCTTCTGGCGTGTAGGGTTTCTGCTGAGAGGTTCAGTGTTCATTTGATGTGCTTCCTTTTGTAGGTGACCTGACTCTTCTCTCTAGCTATCTTTTTTTTTTTTTTTTTTTTTTTTTTTTTTTTTTTACCTTTGAGAATCTGATCATTATGTGTTTCAGGGATGATCTTCTTGTGAGGCGTTTTGTGGTTCTAAGCATTTATTGAATTTGAGTGTTGACCTCTCTAGCTATGTTGGGAAAGTTCTCATGGATGATGAGATACGTTTTCCAAGTTATCTCGATTTGCCTCATCTCTTTTAGGGATGCCAATGAGTTGTAGATTCAGTCTCTTTACGTAAATTCCATATTTCTTCAAGGTTTTGTTTGTTCCTATTTATTTATTTACTCTTGTCTGACTGTCTTATAAAACCAGTCTTGAAGCTGTGAGGTTCTTTCTTTTGATTGGTCCATTCTGCTGTTCATACTTGTGATTCCATTATGAAATTCTTGTAGTGTGATTTTCAGCTGTCTAGTTGGTTACATTCTTTTCTATACTGACTATTTTGTCTGTCAGCTCCTGTATCGTTTTATTTTTATTCTTAGCATTCTTAGATTGGGTTTCAACATTCTTCTGAATCTCAGTGATCTTCATTCTTATCCATATTTTGAATTCTATTTCTGTCATTTCAGCCATCTCAACCTGGTTAAGCAGCTTTGCTGGAAAATTAGTATGATCGCTTGGAAGAAAGAAGATACTCTGGCTTTTTAAGGTCTTAGAGTTCTTGTGCTGGTTCTTTTTCATCTTCGAGGGCTGATGTTTCTTCAGTCATTAAAGTTGCTATCCTTTGGACGATTTTTTTTTTTTCCTTTTATACTATTTGATGTTTTTGGGCATTTGATTATGATACAAGATGTTTTCAGTTGACTTGTTTTAGGAGGATTTTAGGGAACCAAGGCTCAGCTCAGGACTCCTGGACTGTGTGCTCAAACTCTTGGGGACTGGTATCAGGGCGGGGCTTTGATCTCTGTTTCCTCAAGGTTAGGAACCTGCTGCTCAGGAGGGGCCAGAGTGCTCTAAGACTGCTGTTCATAACACTTTGATGGTTGGTGCCAGCCAAAGCACTTTGTAGGGAGGTGGCAGCAGGATCTGTCCTTGTTGACATGTCAGCAGCAGCAGCAGTGCAACAGGGTGCACACTCGCCAGCTATGGCAGGGTGCTGTCAGGTGCCAGAGTGCCAGCCTCCATGCAAGCATGTACAGCAGCTGTGGTAGCAGCACAGCTTGGGGATTTGGGAGCCCCCACTGGAGACTGTGTGCACATTCATACTGGTGGTGGTGTTAGCATCAGATGGGGCAATGGTGGATACAAGACTGTGTGTGCCCTTTGTGCCCATTCATTCTGGTGTCAGTGGCCGCTCAGGGCTAGGGGTGGGTTCACTGCTTTTGGTGGCTAGTTTTGTACTGGTGGCCCCAGTGCAGGGGCGGGGTGCTGGCAGGGCCAGGGCTGGCAGGCTCTATGCCTGCCCACTCTCTGAGGACAGTAGCAGGGAGGGGCATGGGGTGCACTCACGCTGACAGCAGTGGCACAGCAGGGTGCACGTGCACACGTGCTGATGGGGAAGGGAAGATAGGCCCACCTGCACACGTCTACAAAACATTGTGGTGGGTTGCCAGTGGGTGAGTGCCTGCAGGAAAGGCAGCATGAAGGATGCTGCAGTGGAGGAAGAATGCTGGTGCGTGACCACTGGGGTCACCCTGCTGGAGCAATCTGCTAGTCAGGCACAGTCTGCCAATGCAGGAGCTACTATGCAGGCCCCCAGGAAATACGTGGGAGCTTCATTCCAGACAGGTGTGGCCAGGCTCGGGCTCTGGGAGAGAGCCAACAGAATCAACAGTGGTCCAGACTGGCCCCGTCTCATGGGCAAGACCACCCGGCAGAGTTGAGGTCCCATAGTTCTCCTAGGGATAAAGTCTCCTAAGGGAGCAAGTCTAGCCTAACGGGATGGGTGTCCCTGGCCATGCTCTACAATAGATACTTCCATACCAAACTCTCTGGGCTCCGCCCCAACTGGAATTCTGCTTCTACCACTTCCCTAAGCAGCTTTCCCTGTCAACTCAAGTGTCCATGGTGGTCCAGGGGTTCCTTCCTACCACGATTCCAGGAGCCTGTGGTGAGGGCGAATTTTGTTCCTTGCCTTTTCAACTCACCCGCTATGCAGGAGTTGTTGGGGGCCAGGAACAAGTTGTGGTGCTTGGTAGCCCAGAGCAGGATTCCCAGCTTCCTTCCACTTCAGTCCTGGCTGTGTGTTTTCCCTCCATCTGCTCTAAATGACTTCCCTCTGAAGATCTGCTAGGAGTGTGCCAGTCTTCTTGAAGTCCCAGTCTTTCAGTGGGAGATGTTCCTCCTGGCTATATCTAGTTGGCCATCTTGGAGCAGAAATTTCTAGTTTTTTTTTTTTTTTTTTTTTTTAATAAAAATGTATGGAATCTGTTATTCTGTCTACTTTTGTACATATTGGAAATGTTTAAGTGAAAATTTTTCTAACTCATAAATTTAAATGTATAAAGGAAATATACCAAAATAGTATTTTCAGAGTTACAAATGATTTTCCATTTCTATAAAAGTCAAAAAAGTTATGCTACATTTTCTGAGAAAATATGTTATATGACAGGTACCTGTTACCATAGAAATGAAAGATGGAAATAACCAAATCAACTGAGATACAGGGGTAGTTTAGGTAGAAATGGAGGGAGGGGAATGTATCCCCAGAAGAGAAATGAGGAAATTGATGACATCTATTCAGAAGTTTTACAGGGACCCATTTTAATAAGTTACACATATATATACAATATGATCCAGTGAATTTGAGTAAGTATATTAGCTTGCTATATGTTAGTTCTAAATAAAGCTTTTTTCTGTAGATGATGAGTCTCTCAGAATTATTGTTGTTCTTGTCCATATTATAAACAACTTACACAGTCTTATCCACACAGAACATTCTCAGATATTAATGATTTTTTCAAAATCCAGTTAATTTCACATGATAGTTGAAACCTAGCAATATCTTTTAAGTAGAAAATGTCTTTTATTCACAACAGTTTTGCTCCAGATTAAATTTTTGTTCAAGGCAGTTGGATTTGTATTCCCTCTGCAGTGCTATGAAGAAAAATCCTCCAAAGATATCCTGAAAAGAGTAGCTGCAAATGCACTGATGTCACTTCTGGCTGTCAGTAGAAGAGCGCAGAAATGTGCTTTGGAAGGTGAGCCACGTGGCACATCAGCTGTTTTGGTGGTGTTATCATCAATTCACCTGTTTTGTTGCTTGTTCAAGTTAATTTTCTTTAGACTCAAAATGTAAAAACTTACAGTATAATCTCTGTGTCAGTAAAAATAAACATATATTTTTCCATGCAGAAACACAGTAAACATATAGTACTTTTCAAATAAAAAGATTAGATGTGTTTTTTTCTGCAGGGGTTGATTTGTGATGGTCCTTGCTCTAAAGAGCCTTTACGTAAATATTAGAGCAGCTAAAAGATAACATATTGAATTTCATTGTGATTAAATATTGGTATCCAGAAGCACTCACAGCATGCCTGAAGAAAACCCACATAGTTTTGATGGTAAAAACAACAGCAACAGATGATTCCATATTTTCATATAAATTTCTCCTCTTGAGTGTTATAATTTCTCATTTGGGAATTGGAGAACATAGATCTGAGAATTAAAAGAGAATAATGACAACAACAAGTCCATTAATATCAATTGTGATTTGCTACTAAAACAAATGATGTATTCTTCAAGATGTAAATTGGATTTGGGGAGTGTCTTACTAAAAACTGAAAACAAGCGGGAGTCAGCATTTTAGTCCTCTTACTTTCCCCTCTCTGATTCATTAATCTGTCACTGAAAATTCTAAAATGAAGTGGATCAGAAATAGAAAATGTTACTTTTTTGAGAATCTGATTGCTGTATGTGGTTTTAACTCACTTGGAAATAGAGTATCTTTTTGACTGCCGCAGATTTTGTCTTTCAGCCAATCTTATAGACAACTGCATGGAGCAGATGAAACACATAAATGCACAACTTAATCTAGATTCTCTGAGGCCTGGGAAAGCAGCATTGAAAAAAAAGGTAACATAATGAATGGCTATATGTAGAGACCATTCTCTATTCCTCCTGTGCCTAGAAATGAGCACAAACTTGAAATAAGTGTCTCATTTAGAAGAAAAGTACAATTGGATAATTAATGAGACTTGTACATTAGCAGATTGTTGGCTTTTTTTGTTCCTAATTCTTACTTGAAGATCTTTAGACATCTATTATGTGCTTTTGTTTTTATAAACATTTGAAAATAGCCACACATACATGATACTATGCCAGATAAATTTTTTATACTACAAAAAGAAAATCTTTATCTCAGAACAACCATAGGTTAACTAGGAATGACATCTAAAACAACTATAATTTATTAAGGGTTTTCTATATGTCAGCCACTATTGAAACATTTCATATTTATTATCTCATGAACACGCACTTATTACAGCATAGTCACACAATTGGTAATTGATGGAGCTAATATTTGCTCGATATCTTAGTAGTTGCAGAGCTGGTATTCCTAATCTCTGTTTATCTCCTTCTGTGCCTTCTGAGTATCTCCTCTAATGTTGAGTCTGCCGGACTCATGTTTAAATTGCACGCTCAGGTAAACTTAGAATAATATAGTTATTATATAGCTATGGTTAACAATAATGACTATGGTTAACAAGATCTGCCACCCACTTATTCAGCCAGTGAAAGTGTGTGAATAGTATGAATATACAAATATCCATACATGTGTCATGTAAGGCCATTATAGCAGCACTGTATGTAATAACTAGTTTCTACTTCATTTAATAAGAAACCAAGACAAAGCCATATTTATAATTTAATTGATGCAGGAGATTGATTGTGTGTTTATCAGTTATTTTTTGTTTGTTTGTTTTGCCTCTTTTCCTTTTTCCTCTCTATCCCAAGGCCCTTACTTTATCATTGAGAAAGTCAGCCAACACCTGATCTGATTGAAAACCTGTCAGTATCGGCCTCACTTTATTGAGATGAAACATGGAGGCTATCATATATCCGAGTTCCTCCATGCTTCATAGAACACAAATAGCTTTTTTGTGGTGAATGTGCTTCTTGAGATATGGTCATCTTTCAGAGATCGTTAGCTTGTCAGTTCCCTCTAAGTTACAGTGGTTAGGCATGATTAGAGCACAGCTGCATTGTACTGTGACCCAAAGGGGAGGGAATTACTATACACAAAGAGTGGAGTATGCTGTTGCATTCACAATTTTCAACTGCTTTTTGTTTAAATAGGAGGATGGTGTTATTAAAGAGTTAAGCATTGCCATGCAGCTCCTAAGAAACTGTCTTTATCAAAATGAAGAATGTAAAGTAAGTAGAGCTACTTTTCAAAATTTTAATAGAAGTGCTGGTATTAAGCAGTTTAATTTTTATGTGAGATAATGTAGTAGGAAAAATGGAACGCTCTGACTTTTAAATTTTTAGATGCACAGTTGATTGGTCCTTAAACTCAGTGATAATTGTCAGAAATGGGTGTATCTAGTTATTCATCAATACTGATTATATTTGTGTATATCAGTGTTTTGATTTATCATTGAAACTTTAACTTCACAAACTTCAACCTCATTCTGTACTCTTAGGCATTTTAGGTGTTTTTTCCCCACCTATTTTAGATATGGAATGAATGGCTGGATGTGTCTTCTAAGGTAGATTTTTTCAAAATGCGTTGTTAGAACAACTCTCCAAGGAAATAAGTGAAGGTATCTGTATCTGTAAGGAAGAAAGATGAAGAGTTTCCTGCTTCAGAGGAGAAGTAGTTAGAGCTGCTGCCTCGTGGGGCCACATCCACTGAGAGGAAGTTTCTTCTAGTTCTGCTGACTTCCTGTGACCATTTACACATCCCCTCTGTCATAAATCAGACGTTTTGCTTTGTTGATAAGCATTGAGAATGTTGTTTTAAACCATTGAATCAGTACTACTCTAGAAGATACAATCTTTTGAACACTCTGATTTGCTTTGTCTATAGTTTTACAACACTTTTGAAATACTAGATTAATGCTTTAATGCAGAAATACTTGATTATTCTTTGTAAGAGCTTATCATGAAAATAAAATTTTAAAAAATATTAGATTAAAGCTTTAATATAGAAAGCAAAGATAAATTACAGAAGCTTCCTTTGCTTTTTAAATTTTTATCTGTTTTGCTATTACTTGTGGTAAGAGCACAACGGGAAAAACCGTACCACCTCTGGAAAATGGATGTGTTGAACACACTTATTCCTTAAGCTATGTTAAAAAGCCAGATACCTGACTCACAATTTATATTTCAGAGTAGTTTGATGGGAATTAAATATTGATTTATACATTTTATTAAAATTCCTGTATATGAATTTATATGAACTTTTTCTTAAAACAGAGGTGCCATTAATAAACTTATGATTCCTTCATGCTTTTGATACTGTGCTTGTGACTGGATGTACAATCAGTATTCATGTGTATATGTAAATATATAAATTTCATGTGTATGTGCAGTTAATATTCATCCATGATACTTTATTCAGGGAAATACTCTAGAATACTTTATAGGTAGGATCTACCTATGAAGATTTATGAAATGCTAGCCTGGCTACTAGTTATAAATATTGTGCTCAATTTGTATCACATTAGCCATTTATAAAAGTGTAATATCTCAATAAGTCAAAGCATTTCTATATTTCTACATTGTTTAATAAGAATTAAATCCAAAGAATATTTAGGTTATCCTTGAATATAAATATGATCTTATGGAAGTACAGATTCTTAATTTCAATTTCAGCTTTTATCACATGTACGGCATGTTCTCATTATTAATAGTTGGTCATATTGGATAATTCACCAGGTCACCCACTGCCACCCCACCCTGCTGTTTGTATATGCATAACATTAAGGGATTTTCATAGTGGAAGGCAGGATCATGGTGGCTGTGAGGTAAATGAGTTAAACAGTGGACAAGGTTAGATGGAGGGGACTGTCATAGTCCAGACAAGAGATGATGACACCTTAACTTGAGCAGGTAGAAAGGAGAAGGAGGATAGGGAGTAAATTTGAGGCATTGAGAAGAAGAGGAATGTAGGGGACTTCCAAACTCCTGTGTAAGCTGCTTACCAATGCAAGAGTGCATGATAGAGCAGAGCACAAGTGTAAGAGACCTGATGTTCGTTCCTGCACATGCTACCCTCAAGAGTCTTTGGGTCATCCCAGTGAAAAATGGCTTGTGGTCAGTAGATTTTATGGGTCTGGGACTCTGCGGAGTGATACAGACTGGGGATATTAGGAGTTATTGATGTGTGGGTGGTGTTTGTGTCCTCACTATTGTTGAAATTCCCAAGAAAGTATATGATGAAAACCTAGGTCGTATCTTTGGACAATAAGAACATTTAAGAGAGGGCAGAAAACAGCTGAGAGGGGAATGCTGAAGAAGGAATTTGGAGATTGTATTAGGCCATTCTTGTCTTGCTATGAAGAAGTGTCTGAGACTAGGTAATTTATTAAAGAAAAGAGGTTTAATTGGCTCACAGTGCTGCAAGCTGAACAGGAAGCATAGTGGCATCTGCTTCTGGGGAGGCCTCAGGAAGCTTCCAGTCATGTCAGAAGGCAGCAGGGGAACAGGCACATCACATGACTAGAACTGGAGCAAGAGTGAGCTGGTGGGGAGGTGCCACAAACTTCCAAATGACCAGATCTCATGAGGTCTCACTCACTGTCTTGAAGAAAGCACTAAGCCATGAGGAATCCACCCCCAAGATCTTAACACCTCCCACCAGGCCTCACCTCTAGCATTGGGATTACAGTTCAACATAAGGTTTGGGTAGGGACAAATACCCAGACTCTATCAGAGATGATCCAAGATAGAGCATCAGCATGGAAATTAAGAAGGAAGAGATGCATAGCAAATGCCACAGTGCTTCAGCGTTGTTGGCAACAACAAAAGTCGGAGTGGCCTCAATAGAATCATCAGGGCAGAAAATAAATGGAAATTAAAGATTAAATGTGAGATGGGGATATTACCACAATAATAATGTGGAAGTATGGTCATGAAAAGTGGCATTAATAATTTAAGACATATAGGATGTTTCTCTTAACAGGTAAACTCCTTCAATACAGGCACAGAAATGAGCAAATTGGGGACTAGTTGTTTCAGAGACAGCAAGAGAAGAACTAACTGGTGGTTAAAGATCCCTGAGGAGGCAGGAAGAGCTGTGTTTCAGAACACAGATGGATGTATCAATCCCCCACAAAACGTGGAACACCTCTTTCTCACTGCCAGGCAGACAGGAAGGATGAATGGATGAAAATACAGATAAGCTGTGTGGACAGGATGGCAGAACAGATAAAGGAATTTGTACTTAATCCTTTCTGTCTTCTCTGTGAAATAGTAAGCAAGGTCATGTGGTGCAGATGGAGGGCTGTGTGCCACAGAGAGTGGTGAACGTGGGAAGAACTTTAGGGGGAGCGTTGGGAAAGACTTTAGTGCTTACGGGAGGAGTGTCGAACATTGGGAATCACTTCTATTCTGCCACTTGATGCTACGTGAAATTGTATAGGGTGTGTGTATTTATGTGCATGCTCACATGCATAAACATGGGTCTATAAATTACCTTGGAATTCTTGTTCGTTTAAAAAAGATATTGCTGCACTTACTGTAAACAGCTGTATTTTATCTGCAATGTTGTCCCAGGGATAACTGATCTTTGTAATAAAGACCCCGAGTTGACTTCAGAATTTATTGATTTAACATACTATATAGACTGAATTTTATATATTCATATTACTCAAAAACTGTAATTTACTTTGGATATATATATATACACACACATGGGGGGTGAGGAGAGGAAGAGAGGGTGGGCAAGGAAGGACTCAGAGTTGATCAGAATGTTTACTTAACCAGAAATTCTCACTTCTTGGCCATTTCATAGCATTTACAGGAATATATTCAGTGTTGTGAGATACCACTTTGCTGCTTAATTTATGTGTTACAGAGGCTGTTTTCTATGCTCCCTACCTTAGTAACACATATTAACCACTCTGGTGTTGAAGGGACTTCCTGAGACTGGTCAGGCTCTTCGTCAGGGCAGCCATGTGTGGAGCCCAGTGGGGCTGGGGCAGGATGCTGAAGCCAGCCACAGGATTCTGCTTGTGTCTTATGTTGGTGGCTTTTTTGTTGTTGTTTTGATTTTAATGTTATATATTTTCATATATTCAGACTAACGTTATCTTTTTTCCTTCCTTCAACAGGAAGCAGCTCTTGAAGCTCACCTTGTCCCTGTCTTGCACTCTCTCTGGCCTTGGATTTTGATGGATGATTCATTGATGCAAATTTCTCTGCAGCTTCTTTGCGTCTATACTGCAAATTTTCCAAATGGTAAACAGGATCCAGTATGGCCTTTCAGTAATATACCAAAATACTAGTTTTATAAATGTTGTTAAAGTGAACTAGAAAAACTAATACGTATTTTGAAGTATTTCTCTGATTTATTGAGGATATGATGGGCAAAGGCAAGCTTTCTTTTAGGTATGAGAGCAGACATATTTTAGTGTGTTTGTTGACATGAGAGAGTCCTTGGCAGTGCAGGGAATAGAGAGGGAGGACTGGTCTGATTATCTGGCAATTGGAAATTGAGTTTAGTAGAAAAATTGAGAGGATAAAAATTGTGATGTAAGACCTCAAAAGCCAGGTGAAGGTTAGAACTTCTTATAGATTCTAGAACAGGAGATAGGCATGATGAAAGTTAGTTCCCAGAACAATTGGTCTGGTGATACTTGATATCACTAGGGCTACTCTTTCACTCAGGTACTTGATAGACATTTTATCAAGAGTGTGCTGTGGGCCATGCATTGTGAGTTCTGGTGAAAACAATCTGAAATGAGATAGGAGGACAGGTCATGTAGGGCCTCAGGGGCCACAACAGGGAGTTTGGATTTTTATGTGAATATAACAGGATGCCATTGGCAGTTGTAAGCTGGGGAGTGGCATGATTTAATTTGTGTTTAAGAATGATTAGACTGGGCGCGGTGGCTCATGCCAGAACTTTAGGAGGCTAAGGCAGGAGAATCACTTGAGGCCAGGAGTTCGAGACTAGCCTGGCCAACAAAGTGAAACTGGTGTCTACTTAAAAAAAAAAATACAAAAATTAGCCGGACATGGTGGTGCACACCTGTAATCCCAGACTTGGGAGGCTGAGGCAGGAGAATCACTTGAACCCAGGAGGCAGAGGCTGCAGTGAGCTGAGATCATGCCACTGCATTCCAGCCTGGGCAACAGAGCAAGACTTCGTCTCAGAAAAAAAAAAAAAAAAAAAAAAAGAAGAGAAAGATTACTCTGGGCGATATGTGGAGAATGGATGATTGGGAGCAAGGCTAGGAGGGAGACTTGTCATGGAGACATGATGGTGGCTTGGGCTTGAGTGGTAGCTGGAGAGATTGAGAGAAGTAGACAGATTCAGTGTATGGCCCAAAGGTAGAGTCAAGGAAACCTGCGGTGGGAGGTAGGAAGGAAAGAAAGGTGTCCAGGGTAAACTTCATTTGGAGAAATGAGCCTGAATGCACACCTGTGCCATTTACTAAAATGGGGAAGATTTGGAAGAAGCAGACTTGAAGTGAGAAAAAAGTAGGAATCAAGAGTTCTGTTTGGTCTTTTTAAGTCTGAGGTGTTGATATTCACTCAAGTGAAAATAGTAAGATGGAGTTGAATTCAACGGAGAGTAGAGGTAAGTTTGAAGATTTAAAATGTTGGGAATATCATCAGTTATTTATTACCACAAGACAAATTACTCTAAAATTTAGCATCTGTAAACATCAATCATTTCGTTATGCCACAGCTTCTGTGGCTCAGGAATCTGGAAATGGCTTACCTGGGTCGTCCTTGCTCAGAGTCTCTGCAGTCATCTGAAGTCTTAACTGGGATAGAGGATTCAGTGTGCCTATGGCAGCCCCAGTTCCTTGCTACTTAGGGCTGTTTCAAACGACCCAGAGTGAGTGGGCCCAGGGCAGAAGTTACAGTCTCTTATAACCCAGTCTCAGAAGTAACTGAACAGCACTCCTAGGTCCTGTGGGTCACACATAGCAACCCTAGTACAGAGGCGGGGGCCACTGGGACCATCTTGGAGGCTGGCTACCACAGGAGTTGTTGTCATATAGATTGTATTTAAAGTCCTGTGGCTATTTGAGATTACCCAGGGAGAATGTATAGATGGAAAAGCAGAATCCCATGACCAAGTTCTGAGGCACATCGACATTTGGAGTTAATCAAAAGATGAGAGAAAGCAGAAAAAAAAGGAACAGCCGATGAGATAAGAGTGCACAGTCACAGAAAGTCAGAGAAGGGCATACTCAGTTGTGTGGAATGCTCTAGAAAATTCTACTAAAATGAGGATAGCAACAATGGCTATTGGGCTTAGCAATACTGATGTTCTTGTGGACCTTGAGAGTTATTTTAGTGCAGCACCGAAACAGAAACCTAATTAGTATGGGTTGAGGAGAGAAGATGATGTAGAGGAGACAGCCTTTCCAAACTGTTCTACACATAAGGGGGCAGAGAAATGGAGCAACAGCAAGAGACAGATGTGGAGTCAATGGAGGAGTTTTTGCTGTTTTTAAAAATGTGCGTTTTCAAGGCATGTTCATTAAGGGATTGGTAGAATGAGGTACAGAAAAGAGTGCGTGTAAGAGCACACCCTGAGAGGATAAGAGGGGTGAGAGCTAGAGCACAGCTGACAACTGTGGGAAGCAGAGGGAAGGCTGAAGAAGGATGTGGATTTAGGTAGGTTGGTAGACTTGATGGGAATGATGAGAAAATTCCCATTTTGAATACTTCTCCTTTCTTCATTTAGGAGAGAATACTGACCACTAGGAATGAGCAAAGACAAGGGGTAGAGGTGATGTGAGAAGAGGAGAAAGTGTGAAGTAGCTGTGTTTAGAGGAAAAAAAAACAAACACACTAGGGAAGCAAAGTAGGATTGCTGGCAGTGTTAAGTACCCATTTAAAATTTATGCTCATCAATTTAAGATTTGACTAGTTACCAAGTGTTTGTGCTTTCTTCCAACAACATTCAGCAGCCCAGTGGCTGGGGTCTAAATATCAAAGGTTATACAGAGAAGGGACTAGAACTCAAAACAATTAAGAGCCCATCTAGTTACTGCCAGATGCTGATGATGGCTTATTCTTTTGAATAGTCTGACACCTCTGGAGCTGTCCATTTCGATACCCAGCTCAGGTTGTCTCCAGTCAGCACGAAGAGATATAAACAGACCTTCAGGCTCTTGAACTTGAACTATCATTGAAGCATATGTGTACAGGATTGTCCCTGCCTTCATTCTGTGTTGCCAACTTTCTCCGTTCCTTAGGTCTGGTGGGAGTGTCTCGTTTCAGTGCATTTTCCAGCTCCACTACTGTATCTTTTGTTGGCTTACTCATCTTTTATGAGTTTCTTTTATAGAATATATTTGATTCTGATCAATTTATACTTAAGTTAGCCTCCTTGTATGAACTTTCGCAAGTCAATTATACCTTAGGTTTACGTATAATACAGTCTTATTGATTTAACATTAAAATGGATTTCTAATTAAAAAAAACTTTTTTCTCCCTCAATAAATCTCATTCAGTTGCTTAATTTCCTGAGAAACACTGGACCCTGGAAAGCCTGTAGATGCCACTGCCAGCTGCTGCCACTTCTAAACTGTGTGACCTTGAGCAACAAACTGGCTTTTCTGGGCTTCATATCTTTGTTGACCAAATATAGAAAATAGTATTTGTTCTGTCCCCCTCCCCAGGGATATTATGTTCCTTGCCGGTTATGTAAAATGAAGACATTAGACAAGTTATCTCCCATTTCTAAAATCTGTTCCTCTACACAGGCCTTTATTTAGATGTTTTCTTTAGGAACAATTAAAAACCCTAGTATACTTATTTTATTCTTTTTACAAAAATAAACCTGGTATCTTAAAGTGCTCTATTGACATAATTCGGCCCTCGGTGAGGACAGTAAATCTATGAGGTTGAATGTAGACACCAACATTAGCCTCCATTGCTAATTTGCAGTTCACAGGTTAATGGCTAAGTCATTTTGATAGACAGATATGCTTTACCACTTAGTGTATTCAAAAACTAAACAGGGAAAGGAAACTGAGAAGACATTGTGATAGGCGGTTATTTTTGAAGGTTGCAGTTCTCTTTGTTGGTCAAGTTCTGGACAGCACCCTGTTCAAGCTGCACACAGAGGAGCCCTGGGCAACTCTCTGATGCTGTGTGTCCTAAAGTTGGCTTCCCAGATGCCACTGGAGAACACCACAGTTCAGCAGATGGTTTTTATGCTTCTTTCAAACCTGGCCTTGTCTCACGACTGTAAAGGAGTAATTCAGAAGGTAAGCACTTAAACTCCCCTTCATCTCATAAAAGGCTACTCAGTGAAATAATCTTTCCAATCAAAAGTTTACAACTCAGTTTCCAGGATTAATATATTATGATTTGGAGGCATTTTATTTTAAAGGATTATGAAAGGATTAAGAGGTTCACTTTGTTTAAAGCCAGTTGATGGATGACACATGAAAGCGGACAGAAGCTAGATTAGAATCCTGTCATTTCCTTCCATTTATCTTCTTAGCATTTGGATTGTATTTTATCTTTCTTAAAAATGAGAGTTTTAGAAACATAGCTGTCTTACATTTATTGGAGATAATAAAAGTAATATATTTGGTCTTTAAACAGACCAAATTGAGCAGTAACAATTTCAGTTTAATTTCATTGACAAAATGGTTTATGAAATCACAGCCCCTCTCCCCTGTTAGACTTTAACTTCCTTATGGCATGAGAAGCAATTTTCTGAGTTCTCTAGGACTCTGGTTCCCAATCTAGACTTCTCATCACTGATTTTAACTTAAGGTAATTTAAAAGGGATGTAATGAGTTAAATAAATTCTAGTACATATGTGCAGTTAGATTCTGTATTTAGATGTGTATGCACAGACTCCCTAATTGGGAAAATCCCTTCAAATTGGAATGTAATCAGATTATATATTACTTACTAGTATTGTAATTTGAGTGCTTCTGTTTCTTTTACTTGAAGGCCAAGATAAATTGCAAAAATTGAGAGCATTTATAAGAACTGAGTCTCCTTTTCCTCTACCATTTCTTCTCCCTGAACTCCTCAGAAGATACTTTGTTATCACCACATAAATAGAAAGATAGGTCTTTCTAAGGAAGTGGAAAGATCAATCTTACCAAGAAAAGATGTTTTCAGTGGTGCATTGGTGCCAATTCCTACTAACTCATGAGTGTCATCTTAAGTCTGCAGGAATTTTATAAAAATTCCAGTTGATGTTATATTGTCTTGAAATCAGCCACAATGGGAGTATCGCACCATGTAATTTTGTGAACTCCACAAATCATGGATCTTTTGTACCCTCACTGCAATCAGTTGTTTATTTACCAGCACATGGCTGGATATTTTCTTCATCGATATGTTGTTGTATGTCATATATGTATATATATTTGAATATATTTTCTTCATATATGTATCCATATACATATATCATTTCCAAAATGAGATGTTATCTTGAACTGGCTATATGTGATTACCACTTTAAGAACGAGAGATTCTGCATATGTGAGAGCAGAGCAGGGGCAGTGCTTTCCACCACTTCCTTATAGAGCATGTTGGCGGGAAGCTAAGTGGGACGGAATGTAAGTGCCAGTCATGAGTCTGAGCTGGAGACCTGTTCTCTTTCAGCTTCCTTTGGGTTAAAGTAAATAATCTCTAAGATATGTTCCACTTCTAATCTGTTATTCTAGTGCTATACTTAAGAATATTTTGATGAAGTGTGATCAGACTCTCTTTCCAGGGACAGATTAATCGAATCTTTTTCCTCTGCTCTAATTAGGAAATGCCTGAGACTTCCTCTGTGGCGTTAAGTAATAATGAGCCCAGACACTTAACATTTATACTTCTTCATTACTCATCAATAGGACTTAGAAAGTGCAGCAGGTACTAGTGTACAATTCAGGCCCTGAAGTGTCTCGTTTTCTTTTCTGCTATGGTATACATTTCTACACATTCTACCTGGTGTAATTGTCTGAAAACATCTTTAGATGGAACAACAACAACAAAAACAAAAGGAGGGCCCGTAGCGCATTTAGATTTTAGAGCACTGACATATATCTTATCACCCTTGTCAGTCCCGAATCCAGCAAGGGTTGAATCTAAAAAATGTCAGTTCGGCTGAGAGAGGAGAAGTGGGCATGAGTGACAGACAGCACATGCAACTGAAAGTGGGCATGTAATTTTACAGTTTACTTATTGTTTGGGTAATGTTGATAATATTTCTGTAACTCATTTCATTCTCAACACTCAGAGTCCTTTGTATAAAAATGTTAAATGCATTTTATAGATTGGACGCCAACATCTTGATTTTGTTCCAGGAAAACCTAAGAGATAAACTGGAGTAGATTTAAACAGAGAGAGAAAGGAGTTATTCTGTGCAATCATAAAAGTTCAGTGATTGCCTTTCATTTCTAAAATGTCCAGCCAACTGTGGTTTCCATGCTGTCATGGGCTTCAGCTTGATACAGCACTTTTATACTTTGCATATAGATTAGTCTAGACAATAATTTATTATCTTTCATTTACTTAAGGATTTGGTGGGGTTTGTGAAAGGGGCTTTATTTGGAGGTTGAAAAGACTCTCACAGTTCCAATGATAGAGCTTTCTCATCTGTAAGCATAATAGAATGACATGTAGCCATCAAAAATTCTTATTTGTAATGGTAAGTACCTGGGGTAAAGTGAATCTAAGTTGTATCTATAGGTTTGATAAAAACAACAATACTTGTAGCTACAATGATTCAAAATACCCTCACTACTTCCAGAGCTGTTAACTAATAATCAAGACTGATTTGGATTTTTGTCTTTTTTCATTCCATAGGGTAACTTTTAATGAGTAGCAAAATTACCAGAAGGCAGATAAAAGAGAAAACTCAAAAGGACTGAAATAATCTCCAAACTGAATTATCAATTCTGAATAATTAAGAGTTAACTATAGTATACTGTATCCATCATGAGGAAAGAATTAGTGGAAATTAAAACTTGAGCACTATTTTGTTCTTACCTTTTTCACTTATACTTGGAAATAACATAGATGGAGTATTCTGAAGGTATTAGAAAGAAGGAGAAATTAATGTAAGGGAAGACTGTAGCAGAATGTTAGTTAATTGGTCACCAAGGGACTAGGATAATAATGAAAAAGACTTGAGAAGAAAATAATATTCTCTCTGTTTATCCACAGAGTAACTTCTTACAGAACTTCCTCTCTCTAGCATTGCCAAAAGGAGGAAATAAACATCTCAGTAATCTGACTATTCTTTGGTTGAAGTTACTCCTGAATATGTCATTTGGAGAAGATGGGCAGCAAATGATTCTGAGGCTTCATGGCTGTCTAGACTTACTAACAGAGATGAGCAAATACAAGCATAAGAGCAGCCCTTTATTGCCTCTTCTTATCTTTCATAATATTTGCTTCAGTCCTGCTAATAAACCCAAGATCCTGGCTAATGGTAAGTATTCACACACATGCATGTTTATATATGTGGTTATTCATAGACTGTTAAGATCAGCCCGAAATAATTTTATAAATAATTTTCTAGGCATTTATTAAGCACTCACTGTATTCAAGGCACTGTGGATGACATGGGCTCTGGGAATGAACCAGGCATTCCATGGGCTGCCTGGAGTCTCTGAGTTTAGCACATCATGTCATTCCCGTGGACATACTGGACACACGGAGGAAGAGGAGCTGTGGGCGTGGGCGCCCTGACCTTGTCTTCTGCTCCTTCTCCTCTCTCTTTGCTCTTCCTCTAACTCCCCCTCCCCTCCTCTGCATCTTCAAGCAAATGCTACCATGTGAATGAAGCCTCTCCAGAACCACATGTCAGTATTATAGCCCCCAACGCCTTCCTTCTGCCTTCTCTTTTTTCCTCTTCATTCTCTTATTTCCTTTCCTGGTTTTATTTCTCTCCATAGTATTATCGCCATCTGATAGACTGTGTGTTTCACGTATCTGTCAATTCCTAATCTTCCCACACCAGAAGGTGAACTCTTATGGGGTCAGGAGGTTTTTGTCTGCTTTGTTTGTTTATTTGTAGCACCTAGAATTGTGCCTGCAACTAGTGAGCACTCAATAAATACTTGATGATTGACAGAAATCCTAAGCAGACCGGAGAGTTCAGGGCTCGAGATTAGATGGTGCAGTTAGCCTTGCAGAGACTTCATTCTCTGAGATGTAGGACAGATGGAGGCGAGCATTGGTGAGGATTCAGAAAAAAATTGAACTGAAAAGAACTGGAAAGACCTTTTTCTGCAACCATGTGTTATCTCTAAGAGGAGTATGTCAATTTCATGGGGAGTGAGTTTTATGAGAGACATGTGTTCTAGGGAAAAACCACAAGGTGGGCTCCAGACCCCTGCACACCTGTTCTTGAATACTAACCCCAGGTTGGCATCACTCCAGCATCGCCTGGCACAGCCTTGCTGGACCCAGCTTCTTCATCTGTAAAAGAAACCCACTATTCTTGATTTGGTTAAGAATCAGTTTATAAACACACATAAAGTGCCCAGCACTGTTTCTAGTACATGCTAAATGTTTAAGATAGATTCATTCTCTTGTTCTTTCATGTTTTTCACTTCATCTTTTCTCAGAGGCATTTTTCTATGAAATCAAGAGTTTTCCAAGTGTATGCAAACGATTCTCCTTATATTTTGTGGTGTACATGGTTGTGATTCTATTTTTCTGAAAAGCCTTCTCATAATCAGCTGCTAGGTATATGATATAGAAAGGTGTTTAAAGTTCAGTTAGCTTGTACCAGACTTAACCTTACTATGGATTTTGCACTCCGCCTTCCTGTGGCTGCTGCGCTGATGCTGAGCTCTCTGTTGCCGGGCGATATACATCACTGGTTTTATTTCCATCCTCCCCCACTGTATCTGCTTCAGTCCTCACATTTGTAAAATAAGGGTAATGATAATCCCTCCTCAGGGCAGTCAGAGAGCCTGTGAAGCATCTGTGACCATTCTTGGTATGTAGCATTTACTCAGTAACATCTAATATTATTTATTCACCTTTCTTAGAATAATTTTTTTCTTTGGGGATTACTTCAATTTATTATTGAGAGTTGGAAAAAGGACCAGCTTTTTGGGAACGGAAGGAGAGAAGTCTGCGTTTTCCACTTCTAGATCCCTCTAGAATTATTTTTGGCATTTCTTTGTAGTCAGCAATGCTTTCTCTCCTTCATTAGCTTAAAGCAGATGGACACTTTGGTGAGAAGAAGCTTCCCATACTCCCACAGACTAGAGATCAGTGGGCTTTCGAGGCAGGGATAAAATAAGAGACAGCAGTGTGCAGTTGCTGTGTGGAACTATAAAGGGATGTCACAGGCTATGCCTTTCTTTCCACTTGGGGATATTTAGAGGAGGCCTTAGCCAAGTCAGCCAGCTGAAAAGTCTCCCAGGAAAGGCCGCCTGTGATCGGTAGAACCCACACAACTGGTTTAAGCAGTCAAGAGTAGAGTGTGCAGGGGAGCTTGACCTTGCTGTTAAAAATAGATCTGAGGCTGGGCACAGTGGCTCACGGCTGTAATCCCAGCACTCTGGGAGATTGTGGTGGGTGGATCATTTGAGGTCAGGAGTTTGAGACCAGCCTGACCAACATGGTGAAACCCTGCCTCTACTAAAAATACAAAATTTAGCCAGGTGTAGTGGCAGGCGCCTGTAGTCCCAGCAACTCGGGTAGCTGAGGCAGGAGAATCACTTGAACCTGGGAGGCACAGGTTGCAGTGAGCCAAGATCGCGCCACTGCACTGCAGCCTGGGCAACAGAGCAAGAGCGAGACTGCGTCTAAAAAAAAAAAAAAAAGATCTGGAACATTTCTTGTTTCTGGTAATGCCAGGCTAAGTCTCCCTTGAAAACAGCAATAACATTGTATGCTTGGCTTTTGTTGAATATCGAGGGGTGAGAGTACAGGAAGCCGTGATTCCCCAAGGTGGGGATTCTTACTGGCTTCCTGCTTGTATTAAGCTGGACCTCCAAAGAACCATTCTCTTAACAAACGGATGAGTCAGAAATAAGTTGGTTTCCCAAACGGCATGAAGGAGACTGTAAAGAGAAGAAAAAAATGTGTGAGACTGGGTATTACAGACTGCTTCTGACAGGGCTCTGCACGCACAGTTGGCCCTGAACTTGGTTTAAGGTGTCTTCGATTGAAGGTGCCTCTGGGTACTTAGAAGCAAACTGACTTGGTGATGGATAAAAGACAAGTTCATACTGGGCATCAGGGAACCTCCACAAATAATTGTTCAAAAGCACTGACCAGTACAAAGTTAGAGATAATCAAACACATTAGGAGACATGGCAACATGTAGTAAGAAACAGCAAAGGGATAAAAATATCAGCCTCTCTGCCCAGACTTTAACTATGGGAATTACAGAGCAAGGGTTTAAAAATAACTTTAATTATACCATATTTAGATAAATAAATGACAAGCTTGAAAATTTCAGGAAATGGGAAACTGACAAGTTGAAAGATTTGAAAAGAACCAAATAGAACTTTGAGAACTTTACTGTGGAATATGATAATCAGCCACATGTAGTTATTTAAATTTAAACTAATTAAAATTAAATATTCAGTTAGTCAGTTGCACTCACTACATGTGGCTAGTGGCTATCTTATTAAACAACACAGATATGAATATTTCCATTATTGTAGGAAGTTCTGTTGGACAGCGCTAATCTAGAACTTCAGTAGCCAAAATTGAAAACTTAATATACAGATGTGACAGCAAGTTAGGTATAGCAGAGGAGAGAACTTAGAGATTAGAAGATAGGTTAGAAAAATATTATCCAGAATGCAGTAGAGAAAACTAAAAAGATGAGAAAGAATTAAAAGAATCAAAGTTAAGTGACACAGCAGATATATCAAGACAATCTGTGTGACTAATGAAGTGTCCTAGAAGAATCAGAGAGGAAATATTTGAAGAGACAATGGCTAAAAACTTTAAGAACTTTTCTAAGACACTAACGTCACCATAACTGACAACTCACTGTAATTACCAACATGATATCCCTAAATTTATAATTAAACCAATTATATTAAGAAGGTAATATTCAAAGCTCATTATTTCTAATTATTTATATTTTACTACCACATATTCGCTTGAGGTTATTTAAATATTTATATGAGTGTTCAGACTTATTTGTTAAACTTAAAATTGTTTTATTGCTTTTTTCATATGCATATGAAACATGCATGTTTCACAGTAAAATTTGTTTTTTTAGAAAGTCAATCATTGCATCCTCATAAGGGCCCACCATATTATTTCTGACACACAGACACACACACACACACACACACACATAAAATACTTTATTAAAAATGCTTTAAGAGATAGCAGCTGGTTGAAGGAGTTATAAACTTATCTAGATCATAGGAATTATATATTCTGAGTGTTTGAGACAACATTTAAAAACATCACTTGATGCTACTCAGATGGAAACAAGGAAATCACCCTCCCATTTAATAAGGGGACATTTGATGATGTGCCTAATGAGTGGTACTTGCAGCCATAGTTCACATGACAAATTTTGTCTGCCAGCTACTTACATGGCTTGGTTCTGGGTAGGTTAGGATACAGGAAAACCAAAGGGCATCAGATAATACAGATGAGGTGTTCAGGGAGTCAGCTGCAGCATGCCAGAAACGTTGCTGCACCTGCCTTTCACATTGTCCTCCTTCTGCACATTTCGCGTTCACTTTATGGGGCAGCTTTTTTTGTTTACTTTTTGTTAAATATTTAAAATCCCTTAAAATAAAGAAACAAAATTGAATTACGTAGACAAAATTTTTGTTTTAATTTTGGAATCTTTCACCCAATGAGTATTTATTGAGCTCCTAAAATGTACTAGCACTGGTTGGACCAACACCAGTGAGCAGACACTGCCCTCTGACTAATACCAGTGACCAAACATGACCTGTAACGAATACCAGTGAGCAGACATTGGCCTCTAACTAATACCAGTGAGCAGACACTGCCCTCTGACTAATACCAGTGACCAGACATGACCTGTAACGAATACCAGTGAGCAGACACTGGCCTCTAACTAATACCAGTGAGCAGACACTGCCCTCTGACTAATACCAGTGAGCAGACATGACCTGTAACGAATACCAGTGAGCAGACATTGGCCTCTAACTAATACCAGTGAGCAGACACTGCCCTCTGACTAATACCAGTGAGCAGACATGACCTGTAATGAATACCAATGAGCAGACACTGTTCTCTGACCAGTACCAGTGAGCAGACACTGCCCTCTAACTAGTACCAGTGAGTGGACATGACCTATAATGAATACCAGTGAGCAGATGCTGCCCTGTAACTAGTATCAGTGAGCAGACATGACCTGTAACTAATACCAGTGAGCAGACACAGGCCTCTAACTAGTACCAGTGAGCAGACGCTGCCCTCTAACTAATGCCAGTGAGCAGACGTGGCCCTTTAACGAGTA